TGGCTTCCTTTTTATCTGCTGGTCCGCAAGATGAGGCTGGGCTCTAATTGGTCCTGGGGGAGATTGGCAGGGTGAGCGGAGCAACGAGGAGGCCAGACAAACAACAGGAGGGGGAGTGACAGGAAGAGAAGGGCCACCGCACCACAAGTATAGAGGGAACCACAATGGAGGAAAAGAAATGAGCGAGAGTGAAGTCGTAATGAAGTGGAAAAGCATATTCGTTCACCTAAAGTTATATTCAGTTATAAAGATATGCCTATGAATGGGCTAATATTTGCCTTGATGACTGCCATACCTCTATTGGCAAAGAAGATGACATTCATTGTTTGCAGTGGCTGACGTTTTTCTGTTGTGTCGCATCAAATTTGTGCAGGACTCAAGAATAACTGCATTTCGTCGTCCAAGGGACGATAGAAAATGGGTTTGGGATGAACAGAGATCTTCCCCGCGAGGCCTTTGGGACAAGAGGGTGCATTAAACTCACTACTGACGTGTCAGGGGATGCACTCTTTTGTTTCTCTGATAAGGCTACATTGTGAACAACAGTGACATCAGCTGGAGGAGAGCTGTTGGCTGTTAGCAGCCTGTGGTCAGAACTAAAATGTAATGGAGATTGCATTTAGTTACATTATGATTCATATGCATTCAAGCTCTTTTCAGTAAAAATGAGTATTGGGCGTAGAGATGCACGGATCCAGCTTTTTCAATTTCGATACCGATCCTGATGCTGTGGCTTTGAGTATCAGCCGATACCCGATACCGATCCGATACCATGGTTGACCTAAAAAGCTATATACCTTTACATGTAGAACAGAAAAGACTAGAGGCATCGGGTTATCGATGACTACACAGTTCTTTCCTAAGATTAAATGAAACAAGATGAAACACATTACTGCAATGATGAACTATTTATGTTTAACAAAAATAAATAATTATGCAACAGCAGTTGAAATAGGGTGAAATACAGCAGATTCTCTCCTTCCCTCCATGACGTATGTCGCGTCACAATAGATTTTAAGGGAAAGGATCGCCTCAGGTATAGGTTGCATTTTCCGATACCTGATCCATCTATTTTGATGATATCGGGGCCGATATTCAATTTTCAATTTTATTTATAAAGCCCAATATCACAAATCACAATTTGCCTCACAGGGCTTTACAGCATACGACATCCCTCTGTCCTTAGGACCCTCACAGCAGATAAGGAAAAACTCCCAAAAAAACCCCTTTTATGTGGGAAAATAACGGTAGAAACCTCAGGAAGAGCAACTGAGGAGGGATCCCTCTTCCAGGATGGACAGACGTGCAATAGATGTCGTACAGAACAGATCAGTATAATAAATTAACAGTAATCCGTATGACACAATGAGATAGAAAAAGAGAGAGAGAGAGAGACAGAGACAGAGAGAGAGAGATGCAGGACAGACGGTAATGACAGTAGCTTACAACAACTTTAATGAAAGTAATAATATTATAATTATAGTTCTGGCTACTGTGATACAATATGTTGAAAGTATATATTAATATCTGACAGTATACATATGACAATATTCGATCCAGATATCGGATCGGTGCATCCCTAATTGGGCAAGGATAAATTATTACCTTATCACGATGTGTTCAAGTGTAATCCCGTAAAATTTTTGGCGAGAGACTTCAATAAATAGCTGTTTGAAGGAAAATTTTGTTGATGTTTTTACAGTAATATAAAAAAAGATATAAAAGCATTATATTAAAGGACACACACACACACACACACACGTATTAAAGGACAACTTCGGTATTTTTCAACCTGGGCTCTATTTCCCCATGTGTATGTGTGCGTATGGTTCATGGGTACCGCTCGTTCTAAAATTGGTTCAGTATTGAGCCGCGAAACGAGCTAAAACGGTGATGGGGGCAAATGCATCCCGTATAAAAGTGCTTTTTTCTCCACTGACCGGTTCAGATTGCCAGTGCTATCTCTGTAAATAGCATATGGTAGTGGCCCTGGGGCAGTGGTGAGTGTGAATGAGTGGAGTCAGCTGTCAGTCAGTGTTGGAGCAGAAAGGCGGTAGTTGTCCCCGCTCGGTATTGTAAATTAGTATGTGTGTGTGAAGTGTGTGTTTTTTTGCCACTGACCGGTTCAGATCGCCAGTGTTATCTCTGTAAATAGCATGCTAACTTAGCCTCTCCCTTACCTCTGGGCAGTGTGATGTCACGAGCTTTGCTCCACTGTGTCTGTAGCTCTCTCTACTCGTGGGACAGCCGTTTTCTTGAGGAAGAGGTGTTTCGGGATTGGATGTCTTCTCTTCTTCGGCTGGCAGTAGTCATCTTGGGAGAAGTGAGCACTGCAGACCCGATGGTCTTTTTTACGTGCTACCTCCTGGAGTGTTACTGGAGTTTTTGGAGTGCTCAAATAAACGGGCCTTTTTCCCGAACACAAGAACAGGATGTCGCGCAACACCCCGTATAGCTTTCACAGGCTGCCTTTGTCGGACGGCGAGATGCTGAAGTTGTGGCTAGTTGTGCTACAAATGGATGCTAACACTCCTGTCCAGACACTGCGCCTTGCAGACCATCGGGTCTGCAGTGCTCACTTCTTCCAAGATGACTACTGCCAGCCGAAGAAGAGAAGACATCCAATCCTGAAACACCTCTTCCTCAAGAAAACGGCTGTCCCACGAGTAGAGAGAGCTACAGACACAGTGGAGCAAAGCTCGTGACATCACACTGCCCAGAGGTAAGGGAGAGGCTAAGTTAGCATGCTATTTACAGAGATAACACTGGCGATCTGAACCGGTCAGTGGCAAAAAAACACACACTTCACACACACATACTCATTTACAATACCGAGCGGGGACAACTCCCGCCTTTCTGCTCCAACACTGACTGACAGCTGACTCCACTCATTCACACTCACCACTGCCCCAGGGCCGCTACCATATGCTATTTACAGAGATAGCACTGGCGATCTGAACCGGTCAGTGGCGAAAAAAAGCACTTTTATACGGGACGCATTTGCCCCCATTACCGTTTTAGCTCGTTTCGCGGCTCAATACTGAACCAATTTTAGAACGAGTGGTATCCATGAACCATACGCACACATACACATGGGGAAATAGAGCCCAGGTTGAAAAATACCGAAGTTGTCCTTTAATACGTGTGTGTGTGTGTGTGTGTGCGTGTGTGTGTGTGTGTGTGACTCCGCAGAGGTCCACATGGACTAAAAGCGGACATCCGCAAGCCCTGTGCGCGCAAAGCTCAGATTTTACGACCGCGCGGACTCCGCTCCGCGCACCAGTGTCACTCAAAAGACTGCTCGGCATGTATTTTTCCACATCGCCATGACAGAAATGTGCAAGAATTGGGGGTAATGTAGTGTTTCACAGACATTTTTACAGGAAACTACAACGCAGAAGTGCGCTCAACTATGGAAGCCCGAATGACTGCGGACATTCCTCGCGGAGTCCGCTCCGCTTATGTGCGTCTGAGTCTGTGAGCACCTTAAATTAAAACCCTCGGTGCACACTGCAGCACAATCAAACAGATGCGCAACTCAGAGCATCAGAAGTGTCTCTGACAACAGACTCAGAGCGGCTCTGAGTGCTCTGAATGCGCTTGTGGCTCGTTGATGGGGTTAGTTTAAGGCCTCCCCCAAAAAACAAGCAAACAAAAAAAAAAAGCGCAGAAGCTTCGATTTTTTTTTTTTCCACAATCGAATCCCGTGCCATTGAACAAAGCTTCGAAGCTTCGATTTTTTTGGGTCAGCCCTAATTAAAATATCTTCGAAGTACTTTGAGTTTGAGCTACCATCTACGAGCTAAGCACACAGGTGCAGCTAATCAGACTGATGTCAGCGGGCAACTGCATCGCTAAAACCTGCAGAGCACATTTTTTCTCATTTTCGAGAGAGCAAATCACCACAGACCTGTGGATGAAACTAAATTTAAGATGAAGATCGGTTTTGGCTGATCTTTTTCTGTTGTATCACAACAATTTTGTACAGGCTATAAAGCAGGGCTCAAGATTAATGTGTGTCCTGAGGACTACAAAAACGTGTTTGGGATAAACAGAGGTCTTGTAGGATGCCTTCTGGATGAAAGTACGCAGTAAACTCACTATTGTTGTGTCAGGGGTCACTGGTAGAGATCTAATTAACATTAAATGCTAGCTGTTAGAAGCTGGTGGCCAGAAAAAAAAAACACCAAGGCTGCACTGAGTTGTGCTGTGATGCATTCAAGCTCTATTCAGTAAAAATGAGTATTGGGCAAAGGTAAATTATAACGTTATCATGATGTGTTCACCGTAATCTTGTAAAATGTAGTTTTGGGTGAAAAACTTGAGAAACCATAATTGTTCTAAAGAGAAATTTGTTGATGTTTTCACAGCAACATAAAATAGGTATTAGAGAGGGAATTATTGATTCAAGATATGTAGTAAAAAGGCTTCTGATGGAGTGTTGTTTTAAAGATTTTCATGAGAACGAAGGTAACAGTAAAAGGTGCTGCAAGAATTTGTACAGTTAAAGTTGTGCGCATTCAAAGGTAGTGTAATAAGAGCTGAATGACTTTAAAACAGTTCAGTTATTTTTTTATAATGAGGACTTGTTTTCCTGGCACAAAAGGGGAGATAAATACTAAAAAACAACAAGAATTATTGGCACCTGCTATCGACCAAATTGTTATTTTAAACATTGGTATTAACCCAGAATTTGACAATTGGGGCATCCCTATGCAATAATGTTCTATTAATAAATTGAGCTTGGTGTGATGTGCAAAATACTTTAGTTTCCTGCAGGAAGTCCAATGAATTCCATTGATTAAAGCATTCCAGGCGAGTGCCTTCAGAATGTCTCCATCCTAACTAATTTCCCTTTAGTTTATCTATATTTCTCTTGCTTCCCTCTCCACCCCAATGTGTCCCAAAGGACAAAGAGCAATAGATGCAGAGAGAGGTAGAGAGGAGATGGAGGTGGTTCTTGGGGGAGATGAAAGGAATATGTGATCAGAGGCTCTAACCTGCAGCCAACACCTTCGTCTTTCGCCCCTTCAGCAGTTTCTGCACCCGGCACAGCTGCAGGTGGTTCTCATGGCGCCGGCTATTGTTCTGGATTCGCTGGGACACCTCGCATATCACAGTCACCGCCCCTTGAGGAAACACACAAACATCTGCATTACCATACATGTGAGGATGCTCAGTGATTAAATCCTTTCCGATCAAACATATAATATCTCTGAGTATATCAGACCATCAGTTAACTGACAGCTTGCATCAATGTGATGAAGTACTTCATTGTCAAGAATGAATACTTACTTTATTTATTATAATTTATTTGATATATTTAATAAGCCAAAAACAGATATTGATGTCCAGAAAATGTACTGCTAGGCCTGTCACAATAACTACATTTGTTGGCCAATATATTGTCCAGGATTTAACTGTGATAAACAATATTACCGTCATTTTGAGACCATTTAATGTCACTGATGCAAGTACATTGCAATAAAAATGACATATATAATATATAATAAAGGATTTCATCTATGCCATCTACTTCAGAGGAAAGAGGCCCACTATGCTGACCATGCTCCAAACAAATATTTATGACTCTTAACACAAACTTATATTTAAATATTTGTGGTAATTCGTGGAAGATTATGACTTCTACTGCAGCCATCAGAATGCAAATGCATTTAACGCCTACAGTACATACACCCTTTTCTGAGCCCTCCCCTGATGATCTCTGGCTACAACACATCTTTAAATAAACTTTGTTGACTTCAGTGATCAATACTAAATAAAGGAGAGTTCTAATTACGATACGTCAGCAAATATTTTCATTTTCTTACTTTCAAAGAAATGTTCCCAAATGTGGTAACTAACAGAGTGCAATCTGTGAAGCAGTTGGAATCTTGTTTAGTAACTCACTTGGCATCGCAGCCTGATTTTGCTTGATTTCATCAGCGGGCAGAGAACTTAACTTAGCTGTGCAAATTAAAATACCCAAACAGTCCTGACTGGGCCCAATGGTCTGCTGAGTGGGTCAGGCTGGGCTGTGCACTGTATTTGAATGTGTGTGTAGGGACGCCTAAGCATGGTCGTATTAATTAGAGGGATACTGGTGTCCACCCCAGCAGCCCTTGTAGCCCATAATCCACTGCCCTACTGTAAATCAGCTGAGCTATGAGGCTGTAACAGTATGCAAACAATAGCAGCCCCCAATAAGCAAAGCTCATTTGGTTAAATAAACCTATTTTCCTCCAAGTAGTTATATTCCTCCACACCATTCCCACCTGCAGCTGTTGGAGCTAAAGAAACACTCACAGTTGTAGAGCAGAGGTGCAATGTTGAGTTTCTTCCATCACACATGATCTTTGCCTGAGTACAGACGGCTGCAGGCAGCACTGAAACCAGATACAAGTTGATGGCCTGTAATCAAGTTAGTTACTGCATTAACATGAATCACCTGATATGACCAGCGTTTATCAATCAAACTTGTGAAAGTGACAGTTAGTGCATAGCTTTAAATAAGAAGCTGCTTCCTGAATGTTTTGCTGCGTGTGACTTTGATACAGGAGAACATGGTTTGCTTTCTGTTCCCTGCTATCAGTTAACATTGGTTTCTTTTAACCATCGTTCCCTAATCTTAACCATTGACTTTATAAAATAATGAATGTTGCCTTCAGGACATCACCCATTGGTTTGTGGTCTTCAGTTTTGTGGTCTTGAGTTTGGATTTTTGGAACCAGAAGTGACCATACTTGAATGAGAGGGTGGAGATAACCCTAATGCTAGCTGCTGGCTAGGTTAACATGGTGCATGTACAGCTATGGTTATCTGCAATAATGCTAATGCTAATTTTTGCTAGTGAAAAACCATTAAAACAAAATGTACTTACCAGAAAAACTGAACATTTGACTCCTTAGAGGGTCTTTTAGTACAAACAAATGCTGGACAAGACGTTTTTAGGCGACTGAAATGTTCATTTCATGAACTGAAAACACACTTAAATAGCTACGGCTACGGTTACACCCATACTCCCTGAATCCGGCCATGGTTATTTTACCTAACCATTGTTGTCGCCGTGGTAGCAACTTGTCAACAGACGTGATCCACCTGTCACTCAAAGTGGCCCTTAATTGGGCATTTTAACATTGGGATCTATAGGGATAGACTCGCTTTTAAAGTCAGCCACAAGTGGCCATTAGACAAGTCTGCAGTTTTTGGTACCTATGACTTCATTTTTCAGCCCTCGAGGTTGCTCAGCAACTTATTTTTTGTCTTGTTCATCCAACCATACATTAACGATACCTGTGGCAGATGAAAAAAAAAAAAAAAAGCGAAGATGCATTTTTTTGTATCTGTGATTTTGAAAGGCACTGAGTAATAATGCTGTCCTGCTCATACGATTTATTTTGGAAGGAGATCACACACACTGTATTTTGTTGTTTAGTTTGGATGATTTTTTCATAAGTTACTTTGCTAAGTGAAAGCTTATTTTCCACAAAACCCCTCTTTCACATGTAGCAACTTGAATTTCTGCCTCTGTAAAGAAGTCAAATTGCAGTTACAGTTTACATCCTTCTCTGTCCAGAGTCATATTTAGCCATGACAGTTGACAGTGCTTCAAATATTGCTGCAAGGAAGCTGCATATTCTAAAACATGGATGCTTCACACACATCTTATTCCCGGCAGCAAAGAAGATCTACACAGTCAGCACAGTCTCAAGATGGACATCCAAGATTAGAGTCACCAGTTCAGTATCTGACCAGATGCCACTCCGTCTGTTCCTGAGTTATGACACTGAGTAATAGCCAGGGAACTGTTTTTGCAGAACATTATGATGTCACAGTGAAGCTGACCCTTGACATTTTGGATATAAAGTGTCATCACTTTATTATTTTATCCTATTAGACATTTGTGTGAAATTTTGTCAGCGTTAACATGAGAATTTTTGAGTTATGGCCAAAAATGTTTGTACGGTCATACAGACCTTTGACCACCAAATTCCAGTGAGTTCATCCTTGAGTCCAAGCGGATGAGTTGTGCCAAATTTGAGGAAGTTCACTCAAGGCATTCTTGAGATATCCCATTCACGAGAATGAGATGGACACAAGGTCACAGTGACCTTGACCTTTTTGATCACCATAATCTAATCAGGTCATTGCTGAGTCTAAGTGGATGTTTGCGTCATATTTGAGGAAATTCCCTTTAAGCCTTGAGATATTATGTTACGAGGCTGGGACAAACAACCTGAAAACATAATGCCTCCAGCCATGGCTACTGCCAGTGCGGAGGCATAAAAAAATAATGAACCTGGGTTTAACATCAACGGCCATCAGTTGGCTGTCGGTCTATGTCGAGCTGTTGGTGAACGCCTGTGGCTAGGTTTTGCGGTGTATCTCACACGGTTGGCACTAGTTAACAAATCTTGGCTGCTCTTGGGCGATTTAACTTCGAATCAGTGGCAGAGTTGGCAGAGACAATCGGTGCAAGAAAGGTGGTTCAGCTCAGTGCACAAGAAGAGAAACAAAAGTGAAGAGAGCAAACAAACTCAAGAGGGCATGAGATGAAAACAAACTTTTTATATTAGGTAAGATTATTATTTTAGCCATTGAGCTCTTTAGCAGAAACGGTTCGTAATTGTTTGTGTTATTGTTTGTTTGCACATGTCCCTTGTTCTTACAACATCAGGTTGTGTTGTCAATGTGCTTCCTGGCTAACTAGCATCTTGAATCTGTCCTGCTGCTGAATACAGACTACCACAGCCTACTGGTATAGAGAGTTATTTACCCTCATGCAGGCTAAGAATGTTTGCGCTAATTGGCTGTTAGCTGTAGTCTTTGCACTGTGTTTAAGGGTGACCAGACATCCCGAAAATTTCAGGCCAGTCCCGACATCCAAGCAGTTGTCCCGAATCCCAAATCCTGCTCTAACTGTCCTGAAAATGACACTAGAGCAGAGTCTGGAGTAGTTATTGCCTGATAAAACATTAAAAACTGATCATGGTTGGGGCGTCGGTGGCTTAGTGGTAGAGCAGGCGCCTAAAGCAGCATAAAATAAAACGAGAAATTGGAAAAGAGGAAAATATTGAAAAAATTGTTAAATCAGGGAACCGATCACAGATGTATTGCCTCTGTGTGTTTTTATATCTATTGTTGCTTTAACTTGCAGCTATGCTTTTAATGAAGCTGACCAGAGCATGTGAGTGGAGCGGACCGGGTGAAAATATCCACTCCTCGCTTGCAGACCTGTCACTTTGCGCCGCTCGTCTGCTCCGCTTGGTTCTGCGCATTCTTCGCTCCGCTCCGTTCTACCCCATCATAAATTTTATCCCGCTCCACTCGCTCACCACTCCGCTCAAAAAAACTGCGTCGTACTACCCTAACCTGTAATCTTCTATTCACAAATAAAACATGAGCTTGGTAGATTCTCCAGGGAAGCCCTCTCCCCTCTCCCCGCAGTTAGGGACCGTTCTCCACGGTACCGCTGTTGGATGGGTGGAAATAAGTCAAAGTGTGGAGGAGACGGACCAGGTTAAGCGGCCGATCTCCGAAGCCCTCTCGCCTCTCCCTGCAGTTAGGGACCGTTCTCCAAGGTACCGCTGCTTCTCTTCTCAGTTACTTTTCTGAAGTACACAGTAAACTCCATAGTTTTGAAAGAAAATAGTGTGGATGTGAGCAGGTGCAAAGATGCATTCTGGGTGGGGCATGAGCGACCGGAGCGAAATTGGAGCGAGAGATAAGGCTCTGCTCCACCTTAAAAAAAAAATAGCTGCTCCTCACTCAACACAAAATCCTTCTGCTCCCCGCTCAGCTCTGCTCCAGCTCCGCTCCGCTCACATGCTCTGAAGTTGACATGACAGTCAAGCACCCACCCCACCCATTCTCATCTGGCCACCCTAGTTTAAGTGCAATTTTTAGGGTGGGACACAGGTGACATTAGGCAACACAACAGCCTGCCTTCGTCACCACAAGTTTTTCTGTTATGTCAGTTTAGTGTGTCTGGGGATTTACAAAATGAGCAAAGTGCTGGTGTGAATATCTTATTCAACGCTACACAAAAGCAGGCCAGCACCAACTTTCAGTACATAACATATGCATACGTACATATTTTAAGCCAGTAATCAAAATGTACTGAGGAACAATACCCAGCCGCACTCAGTCAATCAAAAGAATATGAGAACTGAACAATTTCCAATGTAAGTCAATCAATCTGTCAACTGTATTGTGCCACATCTCTCTGCATGTCAAGGACTCTTTCACAAACTACCTTCCTTACTTTTTAGTACAAGGCTTTAAAATCTAACCAGAACAAATAGGCAAATCATCAAAATAGACAGAAGCACCCAATTACTGTGTGCCAGCCATAATAATTGCTGTAAACATTTAGAACTACATCATTAACGCGTCCAAAATAACAACAAACAGATGGATTCTAATTTCAAGCTCAACTTTCCTGCTTTTGTTCTGAGCACTGAAACTCAGCGGATGAACTTGATCCTCAGGGCGACTTGTCTACACTAAAATAATCACGGCCTAATTGGCTCGCTTAACTTCACAACAATTACAATGTAAACCAAACAAGGCATCCGTGTAGACTTTTTTCCCTTTGTTGTACGTGTTTGGAATATTTTTCCATTGCCTGCTTTAGAAAAACAACAACTCCTAATTACTGTATTCTTGAGCTGAGTTCTGGCCGAGGCATTAATAATACATCCAGCCCATTAGACATTCTGAAGACATCTTCCACTTCTTACAGCTCTTTATTCCATTTATTCACTATTTAGACAGTGTTTGACCACGGGATGAGGACTGTTAACTTTTATTGTTAAATCTCTGACAGAGTTGGAGAGTTGCGTCAGGTCAGACTTGGTTATGGTTACTACAGCGGAGTCAGGCGTTAGAGTGTCGGGCTGATGAAAACTCCTGAAGCACTGCAATTACAACAATTAAATCCAGCCTGAATGCACTGCGAGGGGAAAAGGGGAGCTTGGGGGGGTGGGGAGAAAAAAAAGAAAGAAAAGAAACAAAGAAGAGGAAATCAAACTGACACAGAGCAGCACAACAAGAGAAAACAACAACAACAAAGCCTCTTGTGATTCTATCTGCTAGTTTGCTTAATCATATACAATGTGATTTGTCTGGAATTTCTTTTTTAAATAATTCCCTTTACAATACAACCCGGCTGACTATAGGACGTTTTTTTTTCTTTTTCCACACATACACACACACACCCATCCCCCAATAAAAAGCAGCAGAGTTTAAAAAAGGATCTTTAATGAGAAGAGGAAGAGGCGATGGTGGAGCACATTTAGATATGTACCTTCATCTTAGAGTCAGGGGCTGTTTTAATTTGTAAGCAAAGGCAGCACACTAGCAATGAGATTTTAATTGATACACATAAATAATTCCTTGTGTACATTCTCACTTGAGTCAGTTTTGCTGTTTATTTGACGATTGAAATTAGTCATTATCGGGATTCGTGTTGATGTTGAAGATTTTATTTATTAATATAGCTCCCGCTTAATATCCTCTGATCCGCTCCCAATTAATTATGTCAAAATCCACATCAAACTAGAACTTACACGCATATTGAGCTTCGCCTCGCTTTCATTTCTCTACTAGCCAAGCGCTGCTATGACAATAACAAATGAGGAATGAAAGGGAAAGAGAGCACTTTCCTTTGTTCCTCAAATGAAGATAATGAGGGCTGTCTTTCACTATGACAGAGTCTGACTGCTGAGATGAAAGTCTTCACAGATTGGCTGTTTTTTTTTTTGTTTGTTTGTTTCCCTGCTGTTGGAGGACTGGCCTTACATTCTATAATTGTACAGCTTTACTTAACTCTCCCGTGCTCCAAACTGCCTGTCACAGGTAGGGAAGAGTTCCACTGCGAGCGAGCCCAAAGTCTTTGTGACTAGTGATGCAGAGCACATCGCCACGCGCTCATCACTTGTTGTTAGGTTGCTGTCACTGACAAACCCCCCAACAATCCTGACAGATTGGAGGAGGAAGAGGTGACAACAACATCAACCTCAGCTTCACACGTGTGCAAATTTGAGCATGCAGCTCCAGACACGCTGCTCTGCTATAAAAGCACTCGAGGTTAATGTGCAGATATTTTCCTTGAAATGCGGTAAAATGATTACTGAGGCAGCAGCGCCATCAGAAAAGACACTTACTTGAAAGCTGCTGGAACTCTGGGTTGTCTGGACTTGTGTTGGCAGCCAGGTCCTGCAGGAAATGTTTATACCTGTGAGGAAACAGAACATAAACAAGGTCATGCTGTGCTCGCCGTCTAAAAATATCACTGGGAAAAGGAAAAAGTGTAAACTGGAACAACAAACGTTTGGTGCGACTGAGAGAGACGGGCTTTTCATTTACATCCGACATTACTCGTGTAGCCCAACTATCACTATCAGAGTACAGTACATTCTTTGTCCTGTCACTGCATACTGGAAGCAGGGAAACAGCGAGGGTGCCTTACAAACTGCGCCTCAGAGGAATCTAACAGGCCAGAAAATGTACACACGTTCTGATTTAAGCTCCTGATGGATGCAGATGGGGAGAGCAGGTTTGGCTTTGAAGTAGTGTTGATGGTGACGACCTCTGACAGATACAGCTGTAACATGATGAAATCTGCACTGGTTTTACTTGAGCTCTCTTTGCTTGGCAGAAAACAAATGAAACACTGACTAGAACTCCATCCAGAGGTGAGAAATGATGACTGAATCAAGACCTGAGACAAACCATTAGCTGGAGTAGGCTAAAGAGAGCTACTTTACCATGCAAAACTAAATGAAAACAAAATATACGTTCAGACTAATTAAGAGGATAAAATCGCAAAGTAACAAGTCAGAAAATGTTATCAATGTTGCCCCAATTTCAGTTTCCATCTGAAGTACCAGTTGTGAAGAGTGTCAGCTTCCTTGGGAATCTTTATCCTTATTACTAGGATGATGTGACCTTGAAGTGCATTGACAATTGACATTGATTTCCACTGTGTCTGTCTGCCTTCGCAGCCCTCTCTGTGCAGTCTGGGCTTGTTTGAGAGACATAGTGGTGCCACTGAGAGAGGCTATTAGTGATACCAGCAGACTGTACACCACTGCTGCTGGTCCATGTGGTGGCATGAGTGGGATGAGACATGTGTTGGAGAGTGACAACAGTGTAGTGTGATAGTGCTTGTGTAGACTGAATAGAAAAACAAAATGGTGATTCTTTCAGCTGGAAATTTGCTTTCTTGCCTGAATTTTGAAGACTTTATTACCCACTTATCCTGTAACATGACATCACTAGCTGTCAGAATTGTTATGGTCTTAAAATAGTTTTGAATATACTAAGGGTTAAGTCTGGTAAGTTCTAGTATTAATATACATTTATACATATGTATGCTTACAATATTTTCATACAGGCTGCATTACATTCACTTGTTCAAATAACTGTCTACAACTTATTGTGGATTCATGTGGATTATGAAACTCTGGCAAAGGTACGTGAAAGGCCCCACCACCTCTCCTACACAGGAGCAAGACACACCAACTTTGTGGTGGTTTTGCCTCATTTTTGTTATTTTGTGTCTCTTTGTAGTCGTAAGGCATCTTTAAGTGGTTTAGGGTTTCCGTGTTGTTGGTTTGTGTCTCTTTGAAGTAGTTTTATGTCTGTTTTTGGTCATTTTGTGTCTCTATATGGTTGTTTTGCTTGTTTTCATAGTTATTTTAGGGGGCCCCTTGACACTTTGGGCCTGTGCCCATTAGGCCCATTCATTAATGGATGTCAGGTGCAGGTGACACTCCAGACCAGGGGTCAGCAACCTTAAGTACCAGAAGAGCAATTTTTGGTCCAAAAGATTTATTAAATCTCTCTGGAGCTGCAAAATATATTTAACCCTTAGAATAAAGGTAACACAGCCTTATTAATTCTGAATTAGCTTATCAACATTACTTATAGGTCTAATCATTACTATGTTTTACCATTAGATGGCTACTCTGCAGTTAATATTTATAAATATTTGGTACCTTGCAGCGAAAGTAAACAAATCTGTCATAGCTTTGTAGACTTAGCTATGACTCACAATTTAGATGATGAAATATTATAACAATTTTTAAAGTTGTTGTAGGCCTGTAGGTTACACATTTTTACAATTGGATAATGTGAGAATCACTTTAGGCCTACAATGATGATAAATGAAAATTAAATTATTCAAAAATAACCATTTTTCATTTTCGTGTTCATTTCCATGTATTCAAATTTGGAGCCATTGGAGATGGGGCTAAAGAGCCACAGGTTGCCTACCCCTGCTCCAGACCAATGGATAGAAGACATGGTTGTAGAGAATCCCACCCTGACATCCAGCCACAGTTTAAACACTTAAATATAGTGAAGAGCTGAAGAGGGCCATGAGGTGTCATTGAAAGTTTGGTCTAAAACTAACCTGGTAAAGTGTGTGTGAGCTGTGCTACCATGAATTTACAGGCACTGAAGTACAGAACAGCAGGTTAGCTCAGTGGCGGGTCTGCGGGTGGAGGTGGAGGAGAGGCGGTAGAGGAGGAGGAGGAGGAGGGCATTGTTCATGCAGTCGATTACTCATCGGAAATGAAACGGAGCCAAACAAGATCCAATTAAGCCTCCTTCAATTAAGAGACACTTAAAAAGAGAAATAATTTCACTTCTTTTTCTTCTTGTCTCATCGTGTAATAACAAATACATTACAGGCATTATTAGCGATGGATGCCCTCGTTCTTATTAAGGAGTGGAGACGAAAATCTAATTAAAGCAACTGTGTAACAAAAAGAGAACACTCTAATGAGCATTATTACGGCACATTTCAAATAATGTAAACGGAACTCTCTCGTTTAGCTGCCCTGTCCCGCTCATTAGCAGCAAAGCAAAGAAAAGATAATGAGACAATAACGTAATCTGAACCATATTTATGACAGTTCAGATATTCTAATGAAGAATGCAGCTTTAGAAAGCATGCGCTGGTGGAGGGATGTGTCTGCCTCCGCTGCAGCGCAAGCTGCTAATTCCTTTATAATATGCAGATGATATGCAGGCTTTTTTCTCACTCTCTCCTGTCAGGTCATTTGGGCATTTGCACACACGTCAGTAAAGAAAAGAGATGGAGGAAATATCTGTCTAATTATTTTGCTTCCCATACATGCATTAAGGATTCAAATTTGTAATTAAGAGACAAGATGCACTGGCAGGCTTCTGCATGGGTTAGTGAACATGGCATGGGCTTGTGGGTAATTACTCAACTTTAATAGCTTAAAAGGAAAGGAATGCACAGCCACGGTAAATACAGAAGACTAGAAATACTCCACTGTCCAAACTTGAGCAATTACAATGTAATATGAAGTGACTGTGAAGAGTGTCTTATCTTTCTCTGAAAGGGTGACTAACGGGGATTTACTCAAAGAGAAAGGAACTCTGTGTAAATGTAGACATTAGGAAGCACTTCTCAGTCAAAGCCCAGAATGACTGGAGCTTTTATTACTGTGTGCTGCTGCATGAGTCAACTTAAATCAACAGGCGAATTAGAGTTGGACAGTTTTAAGTGAGTATATTGCAGGAAAATAAATGTGGCTGCCTTATTGATTGGAATCGTCAGTCAAGGAGCCCCTGATTCAAACCTGTCAGAGTTTGGCTGGTGTAAAAACTTTCAAACTGGTTTGATATTAAGCTAAACACTGGACTGGACGGGCATACCGTATTATACCACTAGGTGTTGCATTTGACTCAACAGCCACTCCTGAGTGGAACACAACACTGTGTCCTAATAGCAAACAAGCGTCCAACATTTGCGTTGCATTGCGTAACATCGGAGCTCTCTGTCCACACTGAATTAAGGATGTCACGATTACTTGATTTCACTATTAACCGCGATTTTAAACGCCACGGTTAATTATTCGTAAAATTCCTCAACACCGTCACTCTCCAAATATTATGCCGGGAAACGGAACCATATACAGTAGGTCAGCGCAACTCGCACGGAACGAAAACAAAGTTACACAAGCGGCGTCTCCGAGTGATGAAGTATGGATGANAGGATAAAGTCAGCCGTGTGGTATCATTTTGGCTATCGCAAAATGACCAAGGGGTCACTGTTGACGACGGCTTTCCAGTTTGTAAAACATGCCGCCAAAAATTCGCGGCCAAAGGATCAAACACGAGCAACATGATACAACACCTGTGGGACAACCACCCAGCTTTACATGCCCAAGTAAAGGTAAATGCACAATAACTGGGTTAAAATACGTCAATCTGAATTTATCTAATGTAACATTGAATTAAAAATTATATGTTAGCGTATCATTTGCAATTAATGGCATAGTGGTATGATACGAGTTGGGCTTACAGTGCAACATGACAAGCTAAGGCACGTCTCAAAAACTTTTCTGATGGATAGTTTTGCAGTTTGTGTGCACACAGCGTGAGGGTGTAATGGTTTTGGGTCCGTGTAGCTCTTTGGAGTGAGACGACAGGCAGAAACTCACGTCCACATGAGTGTGGGGTTTCACAAATGCTCGTCGTTTATTTTTACATCAACTTACAAACACTCCAAGCTTACCAAGCCCAGTTGTACGGCTACTACATTTTCATGCATGAACAAAATAGTCGCCACACGTACTTAAAACCATCACTGTTGTGTTGAGAGATAACAGAAAATGCAGGAGCTCATAAGTATACGCCCGACCAGCGTTGGGTGCGCTCAACAGACTCAAATCTTAACAGGCGTTGCTTGATGACGTTGTTGCTAGGCGACACAGTATACACCATGTTAAAGGCACATTTCATATATTCGACTATTATATTATATTATTAACACTGCACGAGATATGCTCTCAATTTATTTGTGTAATTGTAATTTAAAGAGAACAAAAAGACACACACATCCTAGAAAAAACTTAGACTGCTGTATCACAAAGAGGCATGTAGTTAAAGTAGAGTCTGCACACTACTTTTTGGTTACTTTTCTTTGTTGCTATATTGTTTTTGTTATGTTGACATGGAAATAAATGAAACTTAAAGATCTATAAGGAGTGTTCATGTGATTTTACACATTTATAGTGTGAAATTAATAATCGTGATAATTGTAAAACCGTGATTATTTCTCTGACAATAATCGTACCAAGAAAATCTATAATCGTGACATCCCTACACTGAATCAGTTAATGTACTTCTGTTTCATCATGTAAACAAACTACGTAGCCTACCAATCAGCTGTGCACTCCAGATCAGACAGGTGAT